CATGTGGATGGATTCAAGGAAGTGGTGGAGAGAATGTTGATAAGGCCGCCATGCTTATAATGGTCATATCATGAATAATGCCAGACAATGGAAACAAAGATTCTAGTAAGCTAAGCAACCTAGTAACTTAAACCTAGTCTCTAATTCAGGAAAAAAAAAAAAAAGTTTGTGTCCTTGACAATCAAAGAAAGCTCCACCAGGTTTCCTCCTACTTAATATAAAGGAAAATTCCCACATTCAAATCAGAACAACACTCTCAACAGATCAGATCAGAATCTCAAACCCTTTGCGAGGCCTGCACTGACCAGTGCAGGGTGGCAGGTCAGTCCTCCCCCTTGTCCTGCCACACTCAGAGCTGTCGGTTTCCCTACACTTGGGCTAAGCCCCTTCTGAACCTCCCCATGTGCCGCTCATCCTGCCTGTGGCCGGAGTCCACTCTTGTCATGGCTGTCATCTCCTTGTCTCCTCTCTGATTTCCTAGGAAATGTGGGTTCTAGATTTTATATTCTCTTCATCACTCTCTGGTTATATGTAAACATTTGTCTTCCTATTTGCTGGGTTTTCACATTACTTCTCCAACTTTTAACTTTTTTTTTTTTTTTTTTTTTTCCTTTTTGGTTTTTCAAGACAGGGTTTCTCTGTGTCACCTTGGCTGTCCTGGACTCGCTTTGTAGACCAGGCTGGCCTTGAACTCACAGAGATCCGCCTGCCTCTGCCTCCCCTAGTGCTGGGATTACAGGTGTATCACTACACTTGGCTCAACTTTTAAATCTCTTACCTGTTTTCCTCATCAAGACATGAGTACCCTAAAAGCAGACAATAATGTCTAGCTGGTCCCAGAGACCAGTTCAATACTTAGAAGCTGCTGAATGAACAGGTGAAGTACATCATCAGGTAAGAAGCTTCGTGACGAAGATATACCAGGGACAGGGGGAGTTCATTCAGTTCCTCTCTCTGGCCAGGCAGTTACAGCTGGGTCTCAGCCTCCTGGTCCAGTCTCAAGTGCAATCCAAATACAGCCTGAGCCTCGGTGTTTGCAAGGGACCTGGTACACAGAGGTACTCCAGGAGCTCATCAGCAAGTTCTTACAGGTAAAGGGAGGTGGGACTCTCGGGGCTACCAGGGAAAGGGCTGACTTCCTACACGGGGAGACTGAGGGTGAGAAGACAGGTGGAGTTTTCCTGGCAGAGGTCGGGGGTGGGGGGGAAGTAGGTCCCCTGTGTGGGTGGAACCCTTCCTTGGGGCCAACCCCCTCTCTGCTCTTCTGCTGGGAGCCCAGATGTGACATTTGGTTTCCCCCAGCTTCCTGTGTCTGTCTAGTGGGCTCATGGTGAGTGCCAACTCCAGGCTGAGGTGGGGGTGGGGGGCTGCAAGTGTGACTCAGTCACCCCAAGACACAGGACCGATACAGGAGAGGCCCGGGTACTACTCAAAAGCAGTGTCACGAAACACTGAGGATGTGGTCCAATAGTGTTCATTCACGGTGGAGTGACACAGCTAGCTCTCCTGCCTTCTGAACCCATCTATACAATGAGGACAGATATTGCTCTTGGATCTGCTGGCTGCTGGCATAGGTATCTCTTCCAGCAGGCCTCCTACCCTATCTCCTCATGTCACATCAGAATTGACCTTTTATTGTCCCCCTGCTGACTGTGGGTCAGAGAAAGGCTCTAACGTCAAAGCATTGAAGTCTTATTGAGTGGCAAACACTCAGACTGGCTCTAGACTGGGCACAGGTGGATGGCTCTGGATGGAAGAACCTAGATGGCTAGACTTGAACTTGACCAAAGGATGCAAAACTGAGAATGAGCTCACTTTGAACTTTGAACTTTGCTGCGCAGCCCAGGTTGGCCTTGAACTCTCAATCCTCCTGCCTCAGCTTCTTGCTGGGTGATAGTCATGAACTTACCATGAACTCACCAAGGGCTAGGCCGTGCCACCAGCTCTCCATCCTGACTCCTTTCTGCAGAGCATGATGGGGCCGCTCAGAATGCTGCTGGGGTGGTCTGTGGGTCGAGAACACCCACATTCCTGTGAAGGATGACTGCTGCCAGGGGCGACCACAGGGAAGACAGTTCTTGTCACTGGAAGCAGCAGGGGCCACCTGTATTTAACAGCAGGAACAGCGCTGAGCACATGAAAGGTTGCCAAAAGCCATACCTTCTGCTCTGTACTGAGGATGGGGAGCATTTGCGGGGCATTTATACACATGTCAGCCATTGTTGAGAGGGCTTTAGCATCTTCCCACGGACTCCTCACAGCATGGCTAGGTGCCTCTAACACCTGCTGTGCATGCAGATTGAGGCTGAGGAGGCTGCAGTGGAAGTTTTTGGTTCCTTTAAAAACCCGGTTGTGGTATATAAATATGTTTTTGTTTCAATCCCAGGTGTGGGATGTGGGGCTGCTTCAGTTTTTCCATAGCTGTCGACTATGATTGTCTCGTGCTCTGACAGAGGGTGTGATCTTTGCCAGCTGCAGAGAGTTTGATTCCGAGGACTCTCGGAGGGTATAAATACCAGAGCCCAGAGAGGGACAGGAGCCCTCCAAGGAAGGAAGCGGCTGCCCCTCTTCCTGCTGCGGCCCACCCCTGCTACTGGTTCGTCCTGCTGTTGTGTTTGCTGGACTGCTGGATACCCTGACTACAAAGACTGGACTTGCCCCAAGGAACTATGCCGAAAGAGGGCTACGGCTCTTTTCCCCTCTAACCTTCCTTCTCTCCTACCTAGTGTTGGGGCTTGGAAGGGGAGGTAGATGTATAAGAACCTAAATAAAAGTGATTTTCAAAAATACAGGAGATGACTCCAGCAGGTGGAGCTGGTCCCCTGGTTGTCTCCTCTCCTCGCCCTACTGGGTGTTTGTTTTCTGAAACAGAGGCCCCGGTACCTAGTACTTACTAGGCAAATATTAGCTCAGTGGATAAATACAGGAACTAGTGAAATACAAGTCTGTTAATCTGTCACTAGGAAGCCCACACAGTCATCACTACAGGTGAAACAAAGGCCACCTTCTCAATGACCAAGGTGAGCTCAACCCTGGCTCTCCACAGCGACGGGGAGTTCACACCCTGACCTTGTGGGCTCCACCAGCTCTCAGAGGGAACATGGAAACTTAGCTTGAAAGCATGAGGTACAGACCTGAGGACCTTCTCAGCGCACCCGTGGTGTGCCCGAACCAAAAGGGGTCTATATTCGGGTGTGACTTCCTGTGTGTTCCTGGACCGGACTCCTGCTCTCTGCTGCTGCCTTGTTTGGGAGTACCCCGCCCCTCAGCATCAGGTAGCTCCAGGATGAGGGAGGAGTCAATTTGATCCCCAGTTTGCATTTGGCTCAGGGCTGCTTGACTGGATCATTGTGGTTACTGAGACTTGGACACGTTGTTACATTTCTTTTCCCTAACTCCACTCTCCCAGGGGATGGTCCAGACACAGGAGACTCACAAATGCTCTTCAGGTGCCTGCACTGCCAGGGCACACTAAACCTCCCAACTCCCAACGCCCAAGTGTGGGCGTCACAAGTGAGGGAGTCACCAGTGGGCACACAGGAAATCACCGGGACTCCCCTTGTGTCCTTATCATGGTGAATGCTGTCTCCGGGGCCAAGGTGACTCTGTAGTCAGGCTTTTCCTGTGGGCCCTCTCTTTGACATTCATCCTCCTTGGCACCCCTCATCTGCTCAGCTCGAGTCCCAGCTTGTGCTGGGCAGAGCAGGTGTGTGTGGCCACCCTGTAGCTGAGGAGGCTCCGGGAGCCAGGAGTTCTCATGTGGAAGGGGTTATGCTAGGACCGAGAGTCTCAGCGGGGCCTGTGCAGAGCTGTCGCCAGACAACAGGGGTCTGCATCACCTCAGGGACTGGCTGGCCCTACCCCACTTTACCCCACCTGGATCCTTTCCAGATCCCATCTGCTTATCTGCTCTGTGGCTGCAGCCCTACCTTTGGCACCTTCATTCAGCCACACAGGCGATGAGCAACTTCATCCTCACCACTTAGGTTGGGACCACCCACCTCAGGGCCTTTTCACCTGCTCTTCCTTCCATGAGAACGCTCTCCCCTAGGTACCCCAAAGGCTACCTCCTTGAATGCTGTCTATACTCAAGCTTCATTTCTCACTGAGAATCCAACCCCGCCCCTTTACCACTCCCCCTATTTTTCCTCCCCACCGTTCTTACCATAGATCTGGGGAGATTTCATATTTATTGCTTATTAATTTATGATGTGTATCCAAGCAGCTCAGAGGGCAGCCATTTTAGCGTGTGGTTTGAGTCTCCTCTGCCCTGTGAAGCGCCTGGATCGCAGTAGGCTTTCCACAATCATCCGCCGGTCCGTCCGTCCGTCCATCCATCCATCCATCCATCCATCCACCCTTTCACCCAGCTACCCATCTTCTTATTCACTCACCAGTCACCCATCTTCCCTCTAGACCAGACCCTATTCTGGAGCTGCTCTGGCAATGATTGGGGTACAGAGGAGAGGAAAGCAGGGGGATTGATTTGGGTTTGCGGCAGGAAAAACAGCAAAGCTCACAGAGGGTGAGGGAGGGGGCTTCCAGGGTAAATCCTACTGGAGTGACACCCCGTGGCCTGGCCCACAACCCTGTTTTATAACACTTTGTTCAGAGGGTTGGCTTCCTGGGAGTAATATGGCTCAGCCAGCAGGTCTTAATGTTGGGGGCTGGGTGTGCATCAGAAGCCCTCCTCCCCCATACTGGTGCCTGTTTCTAAGAAGGTTGAAAAGAGGTGGGCGGCAGGGGCTGGGGGGAAGTGCATGCACGGGGCCTCTCCATTGCAGGGTGCAGCTTGCCTGGACATCTCCCTTGGCATCCTCCCAAGATAGGTGGGGCCACCGCCGCCGCGCACGCCTAGGAAAACTCCCCTTTTCGCCCCCACCTTCTGCCTGCTCTGATTCCACCTTGGTCCGGGGCGGGGCAATTTGAGAGCCCCACCCACGGCCCTAGAAGCCTCCTGCATCCAGCCTGTGGCTGGTTTGTATTGAACTGCAGGCAGGATACTGGGCAGGATTCAGGTAGGGCCCCAAGCTCAGAGGAGGCGGGGAGCCACAAAGGGGCGGCAGTTTGCAGGTGTGCGTGGGCGTGGCAGCGTGCCTCCGGCAGCCTGAAAGTGTCTCTGAGGTTCACAGACCGGGTGACCCCAGCCTCACACAGGGCAGCTCTTACTGTCCAGGGTAGGGATGTCAAAAGTCCGCGGAGGCTGAAGACCCTGTGGAACCCCGCCAGGAAACCCAGGAGTGTCAGAGGGCCGCGGCACCGTCTGGCACCGGAAGCCAGACGGGTAGGCGGAGCCTCACCTGGATTAAGTTTACTGCTGCCTAGGCAGGCTGAGACTAGGTGCTGGGCACCTGGAAGGAGGAGGCGGCAACGACAGCCAAGGCTGTCAACAGAAGTTCTGCCTAAACTTGGAGGTAAGAGGCTGCTGCTCAGAGTGGGACGCGAGGTAAGAAAGGGCGGCGGGTATGGCGTGGCTCTAGCCTGGCCCAGCCCACTTGACCTTGGTCTCAGGGTCAGCTCAATGCTTAGGGGTTCTTGAGTGCGCCTGATCCCTGCTGTCTCCCAGGGAACGACTGAGTTAGAGGCTCTAGCTGTTCCAAAGTCACTCCTTGCTCAGTGTGTGATCTGGGCATGCTCATGTTGGAGGCATTGGAACGTATGTATTGGCAAGGTGTGAGGTGTGTCCCTCTTTGCTCAGAAGAGGACACACAGATGTGAGGGCCAGAGTGAAGCTTGGGCCCTGGCGCGTGGATGAGGGCTGACTGGTGGCACGCACCCCCACCTTCGCCTCTGTCCCCAAAGCTTCCAGGGCAGTTTCCTCCAAGGAACCGGTTTAGCAGCAGGTCACTTCTGTTTGACTCTTGAGGAGGAAGAGAAGGCAGACGCCGCCTTTCCTGGTAAGCCAGGTTGGCCAGAGCACAGGTAGGTCTGTTTACTGCTGCCTGCCAAGGGTACCCTTGCCACCGAGCACAGGTGTGTCACCGCATCTGCAGGTCTGGTCAGAGGTGTGCCCCCCTACCAGCTGCTTCGCCCACCTGGTGGCCAAAGCTGCAAAAGGAAAAGTTCGGGCTTGGGGTGGCCCCTGGTGGGACTCTGGCATTCCTTCTGTCTGGACCCATGCCCACAGCTGTACCATGATGGAGGTAGACGGCGCCCCAGGTGTGAAAGCAAATGCTGCTTCTAAAGCTCCAGTGCCCAGCCCCCAGCCCCAGCTCATGGCCCCCACCCAAGCAGACAAAGGTGGGCGGCTGGCGCCACTGCTCTGCCTCTGCCAGCCTGGCTCCCCGAGGCATGTGGGCTGCACAGTGGGACCCTGCTAATGAGCATCTGTCATCACTCCATTATGCCTCCCGAGCCACCTGCGCCCCAGCAATTAGTGGGAGACCCCGGGGGTGCCCTGGTTGCTGGGCAGAGGGGCATGCAGAAGGTGGGAGGGGCTGGGGGAGGGTCTCCTGGGGTTAGGGGCCCATGCTCTGGGATCTTTACAGAGTACTTAGGATTCCAGCTCTTCATTCTATCAAAAGAGAAGCGCCGGAGCTAGGCAGAGATAATCTCCACACTGAGGTGGCTGAGGCAGATCCATCTTGAGTTCTGGTCCAGCCTGGGCTACATGAAGAGACCCCTATCTCAAAAGAGAGGGAGACCCCTCTCAAAAGAGAGGGAGAAGAAGTGGTGACAGTCTAGTGGGCTCTCAGGTGAGGAGACAGGTACATGTCCTCTTTGTGAATCCCCAAGTGAGTCTCAGCCAACACCTTGGCACTTCTGTGCTGTGTATGTGCTGAGAAGTGGAACTGGGCACACACGGGGCCACAGCCAAGATTCCGGTCCTGGAAACTCTAGCAGCGGGTGACCTAGCATAGTGTTCTCATCAGGATGGAGTGCATCTGGCCCAGTCTTTAAACCTCTCTGGGCATCCCTTGCCCGCCTTGGCACAGGTGAAATAATGCCTCTCTGCTTGGTCAGCGACAGCTGGACCAAGTCTGGTGTCTGATCAGTTGCCACACAAACCTCAGGGCAAGACCTGGGGAGGGGCAGCACAGGTGGGGCACAAGTGTGGAGCAGTTGGCAGCAGCTGGCATGGCTTTTTGGGGAATGCTGATCACCTCAGACCAGGTCTGGCTTTCTAGCTGAGGCGGGTGGCTCCTGTGGAGAATTGAAGTTCGTCTGTTTCTGCACACTGGGGATATTTGCTTTGGTTGTTGTTTTCCAAGTCAGGGTTTCTCTGTGTATCTTGGACTCACTTTGCAGACCAGGCTGGCTTAAAGGCAGGCCCATGGGGCTAGGGAGATAACTCAGTTGGTAACGTGCTTGCTGTGCGAGCATGAAGGTGTTTGGATCCTCAGCACCTCATTAAAAAGCCAAGCTTGGTGGTTTGTGCCTGTGCTCCAGCCCTGGAGAGACAGGAGGATCTCCAGGTTTGCTGTCCAGCAACTCTAGCGAATCAGGTTCAGTGAGAGGGCCCCCCACCCATACCCCCTGCACAACTCCTGCCCCTTCATCAAGCCCTGAGTTAGATCTCTGGGTCTCATGTGGTGCAAGGCGAGAACCAACTCCTGCAAGTTATCCTCTGACCTCTGCACACACACATACAGTGGCACCGGTATCTGCAGACACACACACACACACACACACACACACACACACACACACACACAAATGTAATTCCTAAAACATTTAACACGTAAGGTGGAGAGTGACAGAGGAAGACACTCACTAGAAGTTGACTTATCACACGCTCAAGAGTAAACCCAGTAGTCAGGAGATCTCTGCACCCATTTTACACATGAGGACACTGAGGCACAGAAAGATCAAAGGCTGGCAATTTGGTGCTAGACTCCCGAGGCAGTTACGGAGGGCTTTGGGACAGTACTGGGGAGGCCTCATCATGACAGCTCCCCCCATCCATCACCTGGACTGCAGAGGGAACCTCTGTTCAGAGATGGGTAGAGCCACACAGGAGGACCTGAGGCCTTTGGATTCTGAAGGACAGGCCCATGCTAGCAGATGTGGCTGGACTAGTGAGGGCTTGTTCTAGGTGCCTCATCTTTGGCCTGGACTCAGGCACTTCTAAATGCTCGAGAGGCAGGGGCATGGTCATTTTGACTCTCTGAGCGTGATCTGGCTGGATCCAGCTCTCCTGCTAAGTGCTCGTGGTGTGGGGGTAGCTAAGCTGAGGGTCAGACATTCCGTCATGCCACAGCATGAGCCGGAGACTCTTGCCCAGTTTGCCTGTCTCAGGTAGCTGGGCACCCAGGCATGCCCACCTCCTAGAGCAGTCAGTTGGAGAGGCCTTGAAGGCAGCCTGCCTGAACTTGGCTAGGGACACTGGGTTAGTCTCTTCCCTTCAGGCAGGAATGAGGGAAACAGGGAGAAAGGTTGTGTGCCCATACCAAGGAATAAGGCCACTTCTTGTTGGCATGTCTCCATGGTCCAAATTGGGACCAGGAAGAGAGACCTAGGGGAGGGTGCTAGCCTGAAAGTCAGAGCCAGGTTCCAGTCATGAGTCAGGGCTGGTGGTCTCCCTCCCTTTCCTGCTGTAAATAAGGCAGAAGGCCCTTAGCAGGCCTGTAGAGAGAACACCGGCCACTTGTGTGGCATATGACAATTGTGCCACCTCTGTTTGCAGCAAGGGCTGAAGAGGGATGGGTTCAGAGATGGGTAGGGTCTCTCAGGAGGTGCTGTAGTTAGGAGGGGATTAAAAAATTTCTGCCAGCATTTGGGGGATGTGACGTTTCCCAGACCACAGTCCCAGGGCTTTGGAAATCTGAGGCAGGTAATTTTAGGTGGGGCACCTACTTGGCTTCATCCCAGGGACCTGGAGTGGACCCCAAATAAGGTCTCAGAAAACAGGCAAACTTGACTTGGGCAGACTCAGCTCACATCCTGTTGCTAGCCTTCATTCCACTTTATCTGGCATGATGTCCTTGAACCCCAAGCCCAGGCTTGAATCCCGACGAGGCTCTGCCCACTTTAATGGCAGAGAGAGGCCCTGTTTCCCTTCTCTTGGACTAGCCAGATTTTTCTGCTGCTCCCTGGCTAAGGGAAGGGGACGCTCCCTAGTAGGGAAGGCCGTCCTGGGCACTGGCACACAGCTGCCTTTGTGAGGGTGGGTGAGTCACATGGGCGCCCCATCCTTTCTGGACCCTGGGGCGGTGACGGGAGGTGGCATTATCATGGGGCTGTGGTTTGCCCCACGCTTGTGAGCAGGAGGCTTTCCCACGGGAATGAAGAGAGTGGGGAGCTGGCTGGGAGTATAGCCCTAACACATCTTCTGGGTTACAGGCTAGTGGATTGTGGGGTGGCTTTGGGAAGGTCCCCTTTCTGGGCCTCAGTCTCCATTTCTGAAAAATGGGCCAGGTGTTCATCAGCTGGAGTTTTGGACCCTGTGTACACGTTAACATCAGTATACTGGGTACTGTGCTCCATAATGTACAAAGTCATTGAGCTTTCAATGGAAGCCTGTACTTGAACTCCTCTGATGTGTAAAAACCTGATCAGGCAGGGGCTGTTCAGGCCCCTTGGCAGGGGCGGGCACAGCTATATTGCTCTTCACAAGGCTGGCCTGTGCAACCTGTTGTTCTATCAGGTAAGTTAGAAAGAGATGGAGGCCTGAAAGTCCCCTGTGGTTCCACCAGCCACACACTCCGTCCTTCTCTGCGCCCAGGCCTGTGTGGCCAGCAGCTACCATAGGCAGCAAGCCTTGTTGGTTTCTTATCCATATCCTGGGGTTCATGTGCCCCTGAAGGTCTCTCTTCAGAGCCCAGGGAGCAGGTGCCGTTTTTGTCCTCAGCTGACAGCGAAGGGGTGGCGGGGTAGAGACGCTTGCCCAATTCACCAGCTGGCAGAGTCTGCTGTAGCCAGTTGGCCACAGATTAGCATCCGTATTGCTGCTTCTGCTGCTGCTGCTGCTTCTTCTTCTTTCTTTTTCTGTTTGTTTTTCGAGACAGGGTTTCTCTGGGTAGCCTTGGCTGTCCTGGACTGGGCTGGCCTCAAACTCACAGAGATCTGCCTACCTCTGCCTCCCCAAGTGCTGGGGATTGCAGCTGTGCGCCACCGTGCCCAGCTTCTCCTCCATTTCTTGTAAAGGAGGGGCAACCCATAGGCCCTGTGCTCCCCCCCATCCTGCCTCTGTCACCAGCCTGTAAACACACAGCTGCTGCTTTCTAGTGGCCATGGGAAGCGGAGAGGACACATGGCTCCCTCATGCCACAAATCCACTCCCACCCCCCTTCCATTAGGGCAGCCTTTTCTCGCCTCCCAGATCTATGCGCGCGCGCGTGCGCGCACACACACACATACACACCCCCGACTGTGCATGTCAGGTGTGCTTTTGATACCTCCCCTGTCCCTGTTTGATTTTTCCCTAACCTTGTTTCTGGTCTCTTGGATGAGAGACTTTACCTCAGTTTTTCTT